AAGCGCACCATTTCTCTCATGTTTTCACCAACTGTAGAAGGTTTCTGCTCACACTCAGGAGGCAGCAGTGTCCAGTGAAAGATGGAGGGAGGGAATACAAAATATAACAGTATGGTAATTCCAGTTATGGTTGAAAGTTATTATGGCTGTAGTCAGTAATAATTAAAGAAATACTCTTTTACTAAGACTATGTTTCTTTGATCATTCACCAGTGAGAATAAGATAAAGGTAAATGGAATATTTAAGCAAGTAGAAACTAGTGAACATCTAAAAATTAGTGCTGAGAAAGATCTGGATTTTGTCCTTGACAACAGTAAATAATGCACAGATTATGGTCACAAAATAAACTCATTATGTCCTCAAAATACATTATTTACAAAGAATCCCAATCAAATCTACACCCTTCAAGGTTGTCTCCTTGTGCAGTCATACACTGCTTCCAGTCATCCTGCTGATACTGTTCTGACCACTTTGTGTTTGTTTGGGATTCATGCTGAATCTCCACTGTGTCAAGACCTGACAAACTCGCCCAAACTCAAATTTGGTAAAAAGAAAAGATAGGAGATAAGCAAAGATTGTGGTGGTAGTTCCAAAAAACTTTGCGATTTTTACCAGCATTTTCACATGTGCTAAATGTTCCCTTACTCTGTAGGACGTTAGTGCATAAGTCAAGTCTGGCAGACTGACACTGTGTTCATCTGCGGTGCACAACCCTGACAATCTCAAAATAAAAAAAAGAGAAAGAAACACAAACAAAACAACGATAACCATGCCCTTGTTCACATTCCTCACATGATGTGCTTTCTGAAGAACTGGACTCCACGAGGTCAAGAGTGTTGTTTGGTCTTAAGGGTCATAGTGTGAGGTTCAGCTTTCATCACCACTGATAATCCTCAACATGAGGGTCAGTTCAGTTTAACACAGACTTAGATTTTTCATGTCTGGAGAAGTTTTGGAGAACTTATTTTTTCCCCAATACCTTTGCACCATAATCCGTAATCACTGACTACATTAACTTCCGTGTGGATGACACTCTGCCCCTTTTGAAGGTACAGTGTTTCTCCAACAACAAGCCCTGGATCAACCCTGAAATGAAGGCTCTCCACCAGCCCCATCATCTCTGCTGCAAACACCCTATCTTCAACCAGTGCCAGCTTTTCTTCCCATGACTTCTTAGCCCTCAGCCATCATCCACCACCTCTGCTTCAAAAGACTCCACCCCACGCCCCCTTCCTCCAACACCATCCTGTCCCTTTCAATACTTCAGGTGAGGAACGAGCTGTGAGAGATCAAGATGCAAAAGGCTGAAGGTCCAAGAGGAATCAGCTCCAGGCTCCTGAGGTGCCGCGCTGACCAACTGTTTGGCATCATGTTCAACATGAGCCTGAAGCTGGGGAAAGTACCACAGCTGTGAAAGACATCCTATATGGTACCAGTACCAAAGACCACGCATCCGGAGGACCTCAGCAGCCACAGGCTGGTAGCACTGACCTCACATCTGATTAAGACCCTCAAGAGACTGGTCCTAAAACATATTTGCCTCCTCCTTCAGTCTTCATTGGATCTGGTGTAGTTTGCTTACCAGCCTAGAATCGGGGTGGATGATGCCACCATCTACGTCCTGCACCGAACTGTGACCCAGCTGGAGAAGCCTGGGAGCACTGTAAGGATCTCCAGTGCTTTGAACACCATCCAGCCTGGACTTCTGAGGTAGAAGCTGGAGCTGTCCCAGTGGTTAGTGGACTACCTCACTAATAGCTCTGGCATAGCTGGCCTCATAACAGGTGAGGATGACTCAGAATACAGACTGTGTGGACTGGTGCCAGCGGGACCATCTTCTGATCAATGTGGGAAACCAAGGAGCTGGTGTAGGATTTCTGCAGGTGCAGACCCACCACACCGACACCAGTGAACATCCAGGGAACTGACATTAAGAGAGTAGACTCTTTTAAGTACACAGATGTTCACCTGAACAATAAATAGAGTCACAACACTGATGCTCTTTACAGGAAGGGTCAGAGCAGACTGCTGAGATCTTTTGGAGGGGGGCGCTTCTGAAGACCTTTTTTCACTCTGTGGTGATGTCAGCCATCTTCTATGATGTTATCTGTTGGAACAGTAGCTTATCTACAGCTGAGAGAAAGCGTTTAGAGAAGCTCATCATGAAGGCCAGCGCTGCTTCCGGATGCCCTCTCAACCCAGTGCAGGTGGAAGGAAACAGAAGAACTTTGGCAAAAATAACACCACTGTTATTTGCACAGTTTTTCCATTTTCTGTTTTTAATAATCTTTTACATTTTTAATAACTTAATAACTGCACTTTTTTTTTTATTATGCTGTAAATTGTCTTTTTTTATTCTCCATGCTCCATCTGCCTGTCACTTTGCAGATGGAGCATGGAATTTGAATTTCCCCAGTTACTGACAATACAGGATATTTCTATTCTATATTTCTATTCTAATCCCACGGAGGAAGGACAGAGCAGACATGAGCACTGAAGTCACCGTTCACCTTTCACTACCAAATTATAATGAAAGTCCTCTCAGTCCTGCCAGCACTGAGCCAGAGAAGTCAGAAAGTCATGATGACATCACTCAACATAAAAATTAATGGAATATTGGAATATTCTCCACTGTATTACGTACCTGCTGAGCTGATAATAAACCAACCTTTAAACCATTGTCATGCCCCTTAGACACAGAACTACATGTAATCCTTAGACTGGGTATGTCAATAAGTCATCTGTATCTGGTTGATGGATTCTGATTATTAATTGTCAGTGAGGATAAATTGAAAAAAAGTGCACTTATCACAAATAATATGTGTGTGCCACCTCTGGAGTAGTAAATCAGTAGTAAGTCCTGGGGTTATCTTTTTTTTTTTTTTACACATTCTCCAGTGAAGGCTGCCTGCATGTGTTTTCATCGGAGGATTCTTGTGGACGATTCTTACAACAAATACTTTTTGTTATCCTCTTGCAGTTGCAAATGTTGATCTTTTATGTTTCCTTATGTCAGCAGTGATGCATGAGTGTGGCGGTAATCTCTTTGGGAGTCTAGAGTTACATTAACAGGCAGTACGAAAAGCAGGAGGTGGTGATGGTGTCAGGGGTTACGGTGACCTGACAAACACATGAACCACCCAGTGAGGAAGTCAACAAGAGATGCTTTCCACAGCAGCGCCGCGCACCCTAGCAACAGCAGTTGCTGGCAAACATATGTCTGACAAATGTGCGATCTGAACCAATGACAGGGCCTCAATCATCACAATATGGGGCTGCCTCACAAGTATCTCACACAAACACAGTGAAGGGAGTGGGGGAGTGGAAGGGAAGAAGAGAAATAAGATGGAGAGAATGCAGGAGGCAATGCAGATATTGATAATGTGTGTTGGAGTGCTTTACAAGTCAAACTTGCAGAACTGTGCAGTTCTATTGTGTTCTATTGTTGTCCTTGGGGCTAAAATGCTAGCAAACTGCCTCAACATGGGCGTCTTATGTCATTTTTTGCCACTAAAATCTCACTTTATCCAAACTATCCTTTCTGAAGCCAAACTGGAAGTTCACTCACGCTGTACTGTTTTTTCCTCTTCTGGCTCTCTTTAGAAGAATTTTTATATAATTTGATGCCCTCTGCTGATTCATCTTTATTTGCTGCTTGATCGGCATTGTGTAACACCACCAATGTTTTCAATCAGTTCTTTTCATTCTCCACACTATTATTTAATAAATCTGTTTGCCCCAGCCTTCTGTCTGTACTCCTTCTCGTGCTCTTTTTTTGTATTTTCTCTCTCTTTCTCTCCCCCTCGCCAGCTCTGGAAAGTACATTCGCACAGTTCAACAGTGACACAAGGACCGTCTCCTCATGGCAGACCATGCTTGTGTTTTTTCAATTAAGCTAGGCTCCTGTACACCATTCATTTGGGAAACCATAATTCTCATGGCCTAGCAAAAACTAATGGAAAGTCACTTAGCTTTTTTTTTTCTTTTCTGGGAGAGGTATCGGAAAGACCCGTTCCCTGGAAGCTCGTCAGATGAGATGGAGAATAAAAACAGTAGGAATACTGTCTATGAAAATACAGGAGGTGTTGATAGGAGGTGAAGGCCTCGCAGAGGGGTTTCAGGGTGCAAGAACTCATGGGGTGAATGGGATCAGGAAGGAGGTGTGTGAAAGAATACAGATGGATGGATTTCCAAGGGAATGCGGATGAAAGTAAGAGAGTTGCAGGCCGGATCTGAAATGCCCAGCGGGGAGGAGGACAGATCCACTGAAATCACTTCAAAGCCTGGTGTCACTGGGCTGCAGATGAGTGCCTGCTGTCCTTTTTATTTACAGAGATGGGCCCCACTAGCCTTTTGCATTCAACAGCAATAAACAGTGCAAATAAATAAATATCCACATGTGGCCAAACACTCAGGTGCAGTAACACCACACTATTTAGCAGCTCATTTAAAATGACTTTATGGCTCTATATTACATTAACACTAGCCCAGAAGGGCAGTAAAAAGAGTGATATTAAGTTCATCTGACAAACAAAGCAATTTTTAAAAAACCAAAACATTCTTACAGAATAGTCACTTTCACCTTACTTTTCCAAAGTTTTTTTTCTAATAATGCCTGCCACTTCATCCTGTTTCCTTCATGTGTGCCTCAGCCACAGTCTTTGCATTGCTACAACCCATTTGTCACCATTAACCTTTCACTGCTGACACTGACTGCATTCATTTGTTCAAAGTCACAAACACACACATGCTGCATATTCAGAGGTGCATTCTCACATGAGCCAAAACACAGCTACCTACAACTGGTCATACTGTATGGGCAAACACGTGCACACACGTACACATGCATGATGAAAGTGGGAGTGACTTAACCTGGACAGGCCCCCTTACACCCCCACCTCCCAGCCCCCACCACAACAATCAACAGAGACTGACAGACAGTAAAGCAGAGCACATAGCGAGGCACGGTCAGGAGCAGCACATAAAGAAGGAAGTCTTACCTCAAGAGTAGCGCTGTGGAGCCGATGCAAGGAAAAGCTTCATGTTTGTAGCGGTCTCTTTCAGTCTTGGTATCTTTGTATCTCTCAGCTGTGGCAGACGGGAACTGAGACAGGCACAGGCAGCGCAGAGCGGAGCAGCGATCAGCACACTTTAGAGGCAGAGAAGGCTGTGGAGCTGCGCAGACCCCGGGCCCGTTCGCTCCCACTCTGCCTTCTGAGGATGAAAAGAGAAGACTTCATTACCAGCTGAGACCACGCCTCTACCCCTCCAGTCTCTCTCCTCCCAAGCCCATTCTCTCCCTCCCCTCTGCCTTCACTGCCTCCCTGCTTCCCTTCCACACTCCCAGCCAGTAGCACAGGCCCTGTCTCAGCCAAGAGAGGGGGAGCAGGCTGCCAAAGAAAACCTCCAGTCCCACCGCCTGCTAGTGCCGTGCAGTGCACGGACAGAGAAAAAGAGCAATGAGGAAGAAGATGGAGAAACAGAGATGTCATACAGCAAATCATTTGAATACACAGAGAGTTATTTGCTTAGTTTGGACCTTATGAATGAAATATAATGTCGCAAAATCAGTTCAACTTCTGCCAATGAAACCTCAAAATGCAATAGGGAGAAATAAAGTGTGAGAGTTTGCCAGTGACTGCGTTAAATGTCTAGGAAATTAAAATGAAGAAAGAAAAGAAGGAAGACCAAAAGTAAATTTAGACCAAGTATTGGGTGTAGGACAGAAGGGCTTCGCTTTAGAAATAGTGGAAAGAGACAGGGGAAGGACATAGACAGGCAGGCAGACGGAAAGAAAAACACAGACACAGAGAGAGACATAAAATAGGTGATCAGTTTGACAGTTTCAGGGAGTGAAGGAAAAAGACCAAACACATACTTAACCAGGGGGTGTTGGAAGTTTTAATTAAGACTTACTATAAGATCACATCAAACGACTGCTGCTCAGGAAGGACTATGACTGTGTGTGTGTGTTAAGTTCTGGGGGTGGGCACAATGACTGTCTGTGTGTTTATAACTCTTTGCAAACTGCTTCCATATTCATCACCAAGAATAAGGATGACGTTTTTTGTCCACCTTCAGAATGTCTTTTCCCCTTTTCTCATCCTCTTTGCCTTTTTTTCTCATGCCAAAGTGAACTCTCTCCCCATGAGACAGGGAAAATCAGACCTAAAAGCACTAGCTGTTTACTGTCCGTAATTATGAGGGGCTGGGTACAGTCAGCCCAGGCAAGCTCTGCACCCTGCCCCCAGTGCCACCACACACAAACCTTGCTCTGCCAAGTCTGCCAGTTTAAACTGGGCAGTGGCAGAAAAAGGGGGCTGTAAAGTGAAAGAAAAGTACACTAAAACAAATTATGGTTAAAATTAAGGTTCAAGTCAACTGGTAATAGAGACTTCAGAAACAAAAAAACACATTATACTTTAAATCACTTCTAGTTAGGTTTCTGTGGAAGTTCAGCTGCTGCATGCCAACTTCAAGATCATAGCATGAAAGTTAAACATTGATGCTAAAAAATTTTTTTTTTTTTAAAAAAAGACATCATCACAGGACATCTCTACATCCACCACTACTGGCAAATCTGTTGGCCTCAGTTTGATTTACCTTTGCAGAAAAAGAAGGCATTAAGTTTAAATAAGAGGACAGCGCTCTAAGATACAGTGCTAGCTCCTTGAACAGGAACAGGAAGAGGGATAAGCAAAAGAGCAGCTGGGACAAATATGAATACCGCAACAACAACAACAAAAAAGACAGCCAGAGATCTTGGAGCAGAGCAGAAGGACCAAAATGTCAGCATAATGTAAGAGTAAAGGAGAACCTTTTGGCAGCACATGATGAGGTAAGCAGGCATTATACAGATCTCTGGCAATCTCCCATGCTAACATTAACACCTACACAGACCCTCTCAGTGGCATAATGGTGTCAAATTTACACAGGTCCACAAAACAGTACTTAAAGTTATAGGCTGCCTTCATTGTAGGCTGTGAAAACTCAGACACGAGACTGGGGATTGAGACAGCTGAAAATGGTTTGGTAGAGCAATGACAGAGAAAGAAGAGACAAAGTCATTTCTGTGTACTTCATTGCTAAGAAACACTAATCCTCCAAAACCAGTGACATGGACAACCTTTCTGTGGTGTTTTATGTCTTTAATCGGAGGCTTTGGTGATAAAGAAAAGACTAATCCAACATCTGAAAGCTGCTGTTTGTTTACTGTCTGCAATATAATCAGGTATGGTCATTACCCTAAAGATGGTAAATTGATAAAAATAGCACAAAGTGGTCATGCGATAAGGAAAATTAGATGTGTCACGACAGGCTGCCATCAGACTTTGCAACCAAAAGAAAACAAAAAAAGCAAAAACCCATACAATAAAATGAAAGATATAGAGAAATAGAAATAGAAAGAAAGAGGGAGAAAGTTTAAAAAAAAAAGAGATATGATTGATCTAAAATTGGTATTTAGGAACGTGAATACACTCAACATCCTACCTAGCCACTAGGGGCTCTACAGAGCTGTGGTGTGAATACAGTACAGTGCAGTGCGGCAAAGTTTAGCAGTAACAACAACTCTCACATTCTTCCCTCTTTTTTGTTTCAGAGAGGACAAACCTCTGTGCCCTTTGTTTTCATGACTGGTACAGCAAATTGTAAATCCCATCTCACCGATTTAAATCACTTATTAATCTAGTACAGGTCAGACATGGCCTACAACTCATTAGACTAAAAATAAACAACATAATTTCTGTTGCTTTTTACCCAATTTAAGAAGAGAGGATTGTGTAAATTAAATGAATGATAATGTTCACCTGACAGTTTATTAGGTATACTTTGCTGGACTCTCTTTTGCTTTTGGAACGGTCTCATTTCTTCAGAGATTTTGGTCTATATTGACATGATAGCATCACGTAGCTGCTGCACATTTGTCAGCTGCACATCCATGATGTGAATCTTGCGTTCCACTACATCCCAAAGGTGCTCTCTTGGATTGAGTGAGTGTGGAAACTCTGTGAGTACAGTGAACTCACTGAGATGATTTGAGCTTTGTGACATGGTGCATTATCCTGCTGGAAGCAGCCATCAGAAGATGGAAACAGTAAGGACATGGTCGCCAACAATGTTAAGTTAGACTCTGGAGTTAAAATGATTCTCAATTGGTACTAAGGAGCCCAAAAAGTGCAAAGAAAATATCCACCACACCATTGAAACGGTCAAATTGCAATGCTACCAGCAAAATGTTAAAATTGAGACTCGTCAGATCAGACAATGATAAGCCTGATTTGAAGGCTTCCAATTGACTATTGTTACATCAGTTTCCTGTTCCCAGCTGACAGGAGTGGCACTTGGTGTTGTCTTCTGCTGCTGTAGTCCATCTATAGCATGTATTAAGAGACTTGTAATTGTATTAAGAGCTGCTTTCTGCATAAAATGATTCTAACAAGTAATTATTTGAGTTGTTGTTCCATCCTGTTGGCTCATAGCAGTCTTGGCATCATGGGCGTAACTTTGAACATTGGGGGGGTCAAGATCTCTGTCTAAATAAATAAATATGTTGTAAATTCCCAGATGATTAAACATGCAACTATTTTGCTGGTAATAACTGAAATGAGTAAAGAAAATCAACAGCCTATTTATGCAAGATATAATTCATAATTTTATTGGGGGGGAGGGGGGTTATATTGGCTGGGTCTGATTATTGGGGGGGGGTCATAACCCCCCTGGAAATTACGCCCCTGCTCGGCATTGTCCACTGACATCAGTTAGGCATTTTTGGAGATGTCTGTGAAGGAAAATCCTAGTAGATCAGCAATTCCTGAAATGTTCAGATCAGCCAATCTGGTACCAACAGCCATGCCAAATTGAACGTCACTTCAATGAGAACCACTTTGTAAGATGAATGTATATAAAAGAGTGGAGCCTGCTCAAACCTAGCCCTGTAGTCTGTGCATATCAGACCACCAGCTGCCCACACGGGGAATTCAATTTAAACTCTCCGCTAGTACACAAATCCTCTTCCTGCCAACCGTCTGGGGTCTCTAAATGGTCCTTCTTTCTGTGTGTCACTAAAAAAATCCCAGAGAAAACAATGCTGATGCTTATTAGAGTTTTTTAACAGTGACCACAAAAAATTCTAGCTTTCCTGACTGGAGCAACACCTGGGTCAAAAAACTAATAAAACTTTTGACCGTTTAGCAGTAATTCAGCATGCACAGATTTATTGACTGACTGTAATAAAGTTACTAAAAATAGTTCCCTAAAACTAAACATAGATTGGGGAAAAATGTGTAAATTCACCTCCCCTAAATATACAGTGTAGCTTTTCTTTTCAGCCTTTTAGAGGATAGAGTGGTTTAACCATGGCAAGATTAATGTTGCTCCCTGGCTGTATGTCACTGTTTTGGTGTACTCAATTAACATGTGGTAACTTGACATCGAAGTACCTTAACAGCTAAAGAAGAGATGAACCCTTGAGTGCTTTGTATACTGTAAAAGCTAAGACAGCGTCACTGGACTCCAGCATCTCAGTGAAGTAATAGCAAGAACACTGCTTTGGTTCCAAGTTTTCAAATTATTTCTGCAACCCGATTTTGCCACAGTTGCAGTAAGGTTTTAAAGTAACTGGGTTATTCCAGGTCATGTTGGTGACACACCCAGAGGCCCAATGAAAGGCCTCCCCATCACCACCACCAACAACGCTCCTGTAACTGTCAATTAAGGGCACTGAGTGTAGGCGCTGACTACATGTGGTGAGTATATTCCATGAGTCACTGACTGTCAGACACCTGAAATGTCCTATAAAATCAATTACATTAAAACTTAACAACCAGGAAAGAAAATATTTTACAAACCCAAGACTAGTTCAATGAGTGCTTTGTAAGTTTATGTCCTGAGGCAAGAATGGGCCCCAGAAATATTAGACTGTGGGTTTCAAGTTAGACACGGTGATGATGTCTGACCAAAAGGTCTAACACATCCATTCCCATCCTCTCTCTGATTCAACTACTGGACTCTGAAGCAGCCGTACTGGGGATTCCTGGGAATTTCACACCTACAATGCCGATGAACAGTGACCGGTAGAGTCCATCACACCATGGTGTGCCATTTCTGACCGAGAGAGCCCAGCAGACAAGAGCAGATGCTCTCCCCCAGGGCAAACATGGGGCACCCCAGCCAGTGTAGACTTAGCAGTTTGGCGATGTGTACTCGCCCCATCA